GTCATTATAATATAATGAAACTATACTTCTAAAAAATCATGTTTGTGGTCTTTGCGTGACCTGAAATTTTGTATACACAATCTCTCGATCTCAATAATCAATCGAAATTTTTTTATTCATTTTCACCTATTTATGGTCAAATTGAGTCCCCTTCAACAATGAATATAGATAATCCATTTGGTAAATTTCAACATTACTTCTATAAGTAAGGTTACAACCTTAGATAAGCCACACCCTCAATGAGAAGACTCAAAGTTACAGTAAAAAAAAAATCATCATCTTTATTTTCAAATCCCTGGTGTAATTTAAAGGCAATGTATATGTTTGAGCACACATAAATTTACGAAAAGATTACACGCTCACGTAGAGCACATATTCATTCCTAGAGCTAACTTCTACCTCTTACCTAACTAGATAAATTCCAATCTTTTAAAACAAATTCTCTTCCTCCTCCAAAGGGATATATATAAAGATCTACCCCCTAAAAACGAATCCCTTCCTCACGGTAATATTCGAGATGAGAACTCCTAAGACATAACAAGGGAGTATCATTGAAATGGGCACTTTTGATAACTGAACTAATTTTACTTAGCTCGTTCTTTTTTGAATCTTTAGTCTTCTTTTTAATCAAATATCAATTTAACCACAAAATCTTGGTCATTATTGATTAGATCAAATATCAATTTAACCACAAAATTTTGGTTATTATTGATTATCGTTTGAATCTTTCATCTTTTTTTTTATCAAATATCAGTTTAACTACAGAATCTTAATCATTATCATAAATCAGATCTCCTATAAAATCTTGTTCTTCATCTAAGTAAATATCAAATATTAGAGGTGAATTCCAATATACAACCGCTGAATTTCTATACAACCTACTTTAGAAATAAACCTCGTTCTTTTTCAAATCATTTCTAACATTGTTCTTTTTAAAATCATACAACCTACGTTAGAATCAACCTTATTTATTTTCAAATCATGTAGATCAACTAAATCCCATTATATTCTCCTGAACATGAAGCTCTCGATGCTGAGTGTGTGCGTTGGGTTTTGCGGCAACCAATGTGTTAACTCTTCAACTTGTCTTCTCAAATCTCTTATCTTAATGTATTGGAGGTTTTGTTCTCACTGGGTGCGCTAATTCCTAGTAGTAGGCCATTGACCATGTCCACCATGGATGATGTCTTAACAATACCATGATCCCGTAAGAACCGACGTTTTGATACCATCTGACAAAGTAGAAAATTCACTGGCAACTGACAACCAACAAATACAATCATGTTTTAAATAGAGAAAGAATCAACCGAGAAAATATTTGCAAAAAAATATATAAACGTGGGGAGTTGAGACCTCCAACTACGCAGTACAAAAACATGAGAATAAAAAAAAAAACCACAAAAGGGCCTCTTTCTTAATGCCAATTTGTTTTTTTTTTCCCTTTAATTCACTGTTTCAAATGCAAAAACAAAACAAGTTCTTTTTTTGTTTGTACCCTCTATGTTGTCTTATACGTCTTACCTAAATAAATAACTTTCAATCTTTTTTTTTTTTTTGGGTAATTCAGTAGAGAAGACGCTTATATCCATTTTTTTCATATTGATCAAGGAGTTAACTTCAGTAGGTGGTGTTAGCTGGATAGAAAACTACAACATGATAACTATGGGGGTGCTACATTACCCAACCCTTTTTCTAACCTCCAATCTTTTAAATCAAATTCTCTTCCTTCTCTAAAGGGATATATATAATGATCTTCTCCTTAAAAATGAACCCCTTCCTACGAAAAAATCCTTCCTTTCAAGGCAATATTAAAAGGGATTGTATACAATGAGACCATTTACTTTTGATAATAGTTGGTCACAACACTTACAACCATCCAATGTGAAATTTGATAGCTTGGATGCATCATAAAATTCAAAAAATTTCTTTCGAAAGGTCAATGGAATAATTGCAGCCACCCAAACCTACCTAGAAATTTGATACCTAAAGACCTATTTGATAACAGGAAGTTAGGGGAGGAAGAAGGAACGTTCCCATTACTATACAACTTCCATGTTTGATGTACGCAACTTATACAGTAAAAAAAGTTCCACCTAGAACTTTCGTATTCCTTTCTGTTTAAGAAAAAAAGTTCCATCTAAAATGATGGAACTTAAAATAGGAACTTGATTCCTCGAACCCTATTTTGCCTTCCTCCTTATATTTATATTTATATTTATATTGTTAATTTATATTTGTATATTATATTATATTGTTTTATATATTACATAATACAAATAAATATTAATAAAATAAATTATTATATTATATATAATACAAATATATTAATCAATTTATATTATGTTATATATAATATATGTTTTATATTTTATTGTATGATATATAATATACTTTATTATATAATATATTTTAGTAATAAAGTATATTAAAATAAAATAAAAATATTAATTTATTATATTATATTATAT